AGGCTGGACAACCATCTTTCGGGTATGTTGTAGGGCTATCTTTCAGCTATGCTCCTGCAGACTGCAGGGGGTTGGACTAGATGACCTGAAAGGTCCCTTACAACTCGAACAATCTATGATTTTATGATAATAATAATAATAAATAATAATAATAGTATTAATAATTAACTGAGGCTGGAAGTGAGCCCCAGGGGAGCTTGAGACTGAACCACCCTCCTGTGAAATCACATCTAATTCTCCAGGGACTTCCCAAGCCAGGGTTGGAGGGTTAGGGGGTCTGTGCTAAGGTTGTCAACTCCAGGTTGGGAAATCCCTAGAGATCTGGGAGTGGAGCCTGGTGACGTGAGAGGGCAAAGCAAGGATGCGATGCCCCAGAGTCCACTCTCCAGAACTGCCCTTGGTTGGAATTGATCTCTCTCGTCTGAAGATCCGTTGTAATTCCAGGAGATCCCCAGGCTGGAGGCTGGCAACCCTAGCAAAATGCTCCAGATGGCTTGCGCAACCAAGGCATGCTTATGCAGAACTGGGGAAGGGAGAGAGAAGTGGGTTGCAGTTTCCGCGGCGGAGTCTGGAGTGTCGCGGTTGGTTTACGGCCTCTACGGTTAGAACGGACGCCCTTACGTGTGCGTACAGATGGCCGCAGGGCTTTGAATGATGGTTCAGTTTCTTAGGAGGGATTCAGCAGCACTGGAGTCCATACCTTGGCACTCCAAAGTATATTTCCCGGGGAGGAAGCCCTGTTGGATAGGCCTGAGGAAGATCCTGCGTGGGCCTGCTGAGGGAGGCTCTCACAGTTGTTGTACGCACCGCTTATGAAACACTTTGTACTCTGCCACTGACTAACAGTCAGTGTAACTTAGTAGGGGCACTTAACACTTCCATGGTGCATATGTTAAGTGCCTTTGATGATTCTAATCGCAGTAACTGAAATCAATCATGAACATATATTAAGATATTCACTTTGGTTCATTGCTTAAATGTATTCTGGGTAAAATACTAAATGCTGACAGGCAATCATAGAAGAAAAAGAAGAGAAGAGATTGGATTTATACCCCGCCCTTCACTACCCGAAGGAGTCTCAGAGCGGCTTACAAACGCCTTTCCCTTCCCCTCCCCACAACAGACACCCTGCCCCTCACGTGTGCGTACAGATGGCCGCAGGGCTTTGAATGATATATTCCGGAAGGGAACCGGTTCTCAAACGGTTCTGTCTGAAACGACAGACCAGAAACCGTTTGGGAACCGTTCCTCTTCCGGAATATATCACCTGTCTGAAAATCCTCGCATTCTGGGTAAAATACTAAATGCTGACAGGCAATCATACTGCTTGTGACCTTGCTTGTTCTTGCCAACTATAACTGTGCATATTCCTGATGTCATTTAGCCTACGTTAGATGAAGAACACACACCACTATGTACCCATATCGGCTACATTAGATACTTTTAGAATTTAAAACCCTGGAAGAAGAAGGCCCATTGCTCAACTGAAGGAGGTATATTTTTGCCTGAGAAAATCCAACCCACAGGTTGGAGCCCAATCAGAACGGTGTGACGGATATATGACAAGGTTTGATGGAACCAATAATTATGATTTATTTCTAACTGTCATCGGGGGTATAAAAGTTTATGTCTCCCATTGTAACCTTAGGGAAGAGCTGTGGGTACTCGAGGATTCAAAACCTTGTTGTGCCTGTATTTTCCCTCCTTTATTAATAAAGTCTTTTTAGCCTGGATTCTCCTCTACAAGACTGCCGAGTGCTTTCTCAAATTGGGCTGGGGAAGCACAACCCGTGACGGAGTTTCTCTCTTACACAGTCCTGGAAGCAGAAAGGAGAAATCCTTTAGGAGTGCCAACCTCCAGGTGGTCGAAGCCAAACATGAGAGGTCACGGGAGGAATGCCAAAAGCGACATCCGTGACGAAAATAACGAAGAGTCAATAAAGAGAAGTTGCCAAAACGTTTACTGTAGTAATTCTGTAGAAAATTCTCCTTCTATAATTCTTGGGTTCTGTTACTAGAGAGTCGGCATGGAGTGTTTCCTTCAAGAGTCGATAAGTGGTGATCGATAAGAACTGGGATTGCGACACGCTCAGAGAAAGCAAATATTGTGAAACGAATTGTTTTCGGTGGACGGTATTCGTTTGCGCGTGAGCGATTATGGAAGGATAATTTTCGACAGAATTACTACAGTAAACCTTTTTGCAACTTATCTTTATTGACTCTTCGTTATTTTTGTCATGGATGTCGTTTTTGGTATTCCTCAACCTCCAGGCTGTGGCTGGAGATCTCCTGGGATTACAACCAATGTTCCCTCTAAGCTGTGGAGTTTTGTGAGCAAAAATTCTACTTTGTGCGCTATCGGCATTACAGTTGTGAGGGAGTGATTTGGCTGCTGCATAAATTAGTTTGCTCTGGAGCAATGTTCCCTCTAAGCTGTGGAGTCTTGTGAGCAAAAATTCTGCTTGGTGACCTACTGGAATTAAAGTTGTGAGCGAGCGGTTTGGCTTCTGCATAACTCAGTTTGCTCTGGAGCCATCCCTTCCTGAGCTAAGGCAAAAATGCGTGAGCTGGAGGCTAAAAAACTATGAGCCAGCTCAAAATGGCCACTTGGGAAGGTGGAGTCTGTGGCATTCTACCCCACTGAGATCCCTCCCCTCCCCAAACCCCGCCCTCCTTAGGCTCCACCCCCCCAAATCTCCAGGTATTTCCCAACCCGGAGCTGGCAACCCTAGGCTGGATCCCTGGATTCCTTAAAACAGACAAGTCAGATGGAGCCGTCGCTGGTTTGGACCACGTCAGATTTCAGGCCAGCAGGGCCACCAGCTCTGGGCTGGGGACTCCCTGGAGATTTAGGGGGTGGAGCCTGAGGAGGGCGGGGTTTGTGAGAGGAGGGACCTCAGCAGCCTACCATAAAGTCCACCTTCCGAGGCAGCCCTTTTCCCCAGGTGAATTGACTTCTGTTCCTGGGAGATCAATTGTAATCTCAGGAGATCTCCAGCCGCCTCCTGGAGGTTGGCAACCCTACAGGCCAGTGACTGCACTGCACGCCATGAAGACCCAGAGCATCCCTGCTGTGCATGTCCTTTTCATGCAGAGATCTTACCTATCCGAAGTGGTACAGTCCTGCACCACATTATATTTATTTATTTATTTAAGGCATTTTTACCCCGCCCTTCCCGCAAGCGGGCTCAGGGCGGCTTACAGGGGCTATTATTGGGTAGCTTGACAGTCATGGCAGGCTGAAATGGCTCTGCTTCAGAGTCTCTCGCCACAGGTTACCTTGCACCGACACCCTCGGTACCCGTAAATGCAAACCTTGGAAATCACACAAGCCTGTTGGCATTCAGGCTGCCAGCCTGCTTTGGGGGGCTTTGGCATGGAGGGCGGGCTGTAAATCAAATAAATAACTAAAGAAGAAGCAGAGATTGGCTTTATACCCCTGCCCTTCACTACCCAAAGGAGTCTCAGAGCGGCTTACAAACTCCTTTCCCTTCCCCTCCCCACCACAGACACCCTGTGAGGTAGGCGGGGCTGAGAGAGCTCCGACACAAACTGCTCTTTTTCAAAGACAGCTTTTATCAGAACTGTGGCTTGCCCAAGGTCATCCAGCCAGGTGCAAGTGGAGGAGTGGGGAATCAAACCCAGATCTCCCAGATTAGAGTCCACGCACTTAACCACGACAGCAAAGGGCAACTAAAGTGATTAAGGGGGATGGAAGAAGAGAAGAGGAGATTGGATTTATCCCCCGCCCTTCACTACCCAAAGGAGTCTCAGAGCGGCTTACAAAATCCTTTCCCTTCCCCACAACAGACACCTGTGAGGCAGGTGGGGCTGAGAGAGCTCCGACAGATACTGCTCTTTTTCAAGAACAGCTGTGCCAGAACTACAGCTTGCCCAAGGTCATCCAGCCAGGTGCGAGTGGAGGAGTGGGGAATCAAACCCGGTTCTCCCAGATTAGAGTCTGCACACTTAACCACGACACCAAATAAACTGATCCGCCCGCCGGCCAGCAGTGGACACCCCACCCCCAAACAGACGTTGTCATCCGATGTCCCCGACATGATGACGTCACTTCCTGGTGATGTCATTGCACCGTGAACGTCGTGCAGCGATGCTCTGGCTTCTGGGCAAACTCTATGTCTTTGAAGGCAAAGACACCCATAGAGTTTTGCCCCAAAACCAGAGTGTCACTTGTGACGTTACCAATGTAATGATGTCACTTCCAGGTAATGTCATGGCATCAGGGATGTTGCACACAATGTCCTGCCAACCCCCGGAACGCCCCCCAAATCCCACCACCGTGATGGCGAAGGGACCTGGCTACCATAGTTGGTATGGCAGCGACGCACGCTGCCGCTGTTGGCGACCATGTCTATCAGGAAAATCACGCATGGACCCGTCGCATGCAGCTGGTGGGCTCCCGGTTTGTGGGATCATGACTGAAAAGGTCTACAGCCCTTTCCTCGCAAAAGATGGGTGCTACCAGAAAAAAAAGTTGAACTGCCAGAGGACCACAGAGTTTCTGAATTTTCATGCCTTCAGATTGCAACCTCTGTCCTGCGGCAGTTTGCCTCAACAGGAGGGTGCTCGGCCAATATGGCTGCGAACCTCTGGATACACAAATCCCCCTCATGTCTAACATGGACACACAATCTTTTAGTCCTCAGGAGAGAAACTAATGAGAGCCTTCAGACCAAGGAACGGAATGCACAAAATGACCCGGGGGGGGGGGGGGGGGGCTCTGCTTCTTCTGTTTCTCCCGTTACCGCCTCTTCCTCTTCCCAACACATTCACGCAGACGGCCAGTTTGGTTTAGTGGTTAAGTGTGCGGACTCTAATCTGGGAGAACCGGGTTTGATTCCCCACTCCTCCACTTGCAGCTGCTAGATGACCTTGGAAAAGCCATAGTTCTGTCAGAGCTGTTCTCTCAAGGGCAGTTTCTGTCAGAGCTCTCTCAGCCCCACCTACCTCACAGGGTGTCTGTTGTGGGGAGGGGAAGGGAAAGGAATTTGTAAGCTGCTCTGAGACTCCAAGTGAAGGGCGGGGTATAAATCCAATCTCTTCTTCTTCTTCTTCTTCTTCTTCTTTTGGGGTGAAAAAGCTTCCCTTCAATTTTCTTTCTTCTCCCCATTCTCTCCCCGATCTCCATCACCGTCTCCCTGGGAAGTCTTGGAAAATAAGCCCAAAGAATCAGAGCATCCCGTCTATCCAGCTCTCTCCAAATCGCAGAAACGGAAAGGTAAATGTGGGGCCCGGAGAGGGATTGGTGGAGATTAATTGCTCGGATCGGGGACGTACCCAAAAGGCGGCTTCTTCTCCTTCTCTCTTTTTTTGGAAAAAAAGGAGCTGGAACTCTCAATCTGTATACTGAAAACTCATGAACTTGAAAATATTTTAAAAAGAATTTTGTTGGTTCCAGGACTCTGTTCCGGCACTCCCCCCCCTTAAAAAAAAGCCCTGGGTACCCATTTTGTCTGGGTGGTAGAAATCGTTTTAAAGAGCACTGAAGGGCGTGTGTTTAAAGTGCCGCCCAGTCACAGCTGACATCCAGCGACCCAGCAAGGGGCTTTCAGGACAACTGAGAAGCAAGAGGAGGTTTGCCACCGCCTTCCTCTGCAGAGCCTTCCTTGGTGGCCTCCCTCCCAAGTAGTGGCCCCGCTTAGCTCTTGAGATCTGACGAGAAATGGCTGTTCCACGCCACCTTCTTTCCTGGACAGGGTTGGGGTATTTTTGCCATCAAGTTGTAACTGACTTATGGCAACCTGGTAGAGCTTTCAAGGCAAGAGATGTTCAGAGGCGGTTTGCCATGGCCTGCCTCTGTACAGTGACCCTGGTCTTCCTTGGAGGTCTGCCATCCAAATACTGACCTGAGCCGACCCTGCGTAGCTTCCGAGATCTGACAAGATGGGGCTTGCCTGGGCCATCCAGGTCAGGGTGCAGGTTAGTTCAGGGGTCGTTTCGTAGAAAAAGAGCTAGGGGAACTCATTAGCATAACTCATAAGCAAATGCCACACACCCTGACGTCACCGGAAGTGTGTCATAAGGCCACACCCCCTGCCATCACCGGAAGTGTGTCATAAGGCCACACCCACCACTCAGTTAGTCTTAGTCTTAAAGGTTAGTCTTAAAGGTGCTATTTGTTAGTCTTAAAGGTGCTATTTGAACTCTTGGACTATTTTGCAGCAACAGACTAACACAGCTACCTCGGGGAAGCTCCTGGATGGGGCTGGGAGTCCTTGCGGAGGCCACGTGGAGTGGCCTCGGCCAGGCAGAGGGGGAGGACGCCAACTTACCCTCCTGCTTCTTCCTCCTTCTGCAACAGAATGAGGCTGGAAGAAGGGGGCAGCCGGAAGAAGGGGCGGGGCTTCGTCGTGTGCCCCGCCCCCTGCACCTCACCCGGGGGAACTGCGATCCCCCGCGATCCCCCCCAAATCGACCTCTGGTTTTGATATGATAAAACCATAGTGTTTTGGGGAAATCCTAGAGCATTGCACTGTAGTGATGATGACACTTCTGGGTTTGCACCAGAAGTTCTGTGACAACTATCCCCCCCCCCCAGCAATTTCCCCGTCACCCTTCTGCTGAGTAGCACTGTTCATCTGGGCTGCAGGTCTATTGCTGTAGCAGGAAAGTAGTCCAAAACCAAACAAAGGTTAGTGGAAAGGAGGGCCAATATAAAAACTATTAATAAAAAGAGGTACATGTATTTATTAATATCAAATTAAAACATATATAGGGGCCCAATTACAACCAATATACATAAACCTTAATCATAACCAGGGCTAAAAAAATGACCTGACGCGTTTCGGCCGAATCGGCCTTCCTCAGAGGTCATACGAATGTGGCATCATATATCCACCCATTACATTTGATCCACTCTGGTCGAAAAGGATCTGCAGGTTTATAAAGCTCTGCAAAAGTCTCACAAAAGCTGTGAGCTGGGACACGTGTGCGTAGCACAGCGCCCCAAATCCAAAAAGCATCTGTGATCATCACCTTCAGTTCTCTGCAAAAACAAAAACAAAGCCTCGACTGTCTCCAGTTATTATTGCCATGGAAACGGAACGGTACAGGGAGGGCTGTGGATCTTCCCTGTGATTGCACCGCTTGGCGTAGCTCTTTACCTTGGTAGATGAATAGCAGAGGCCGATTATGCAAAACCAGTAAATATATGCAGGTTTTAATAGTTTGCTAACTTATACGGGTCACAGATTTCAGTTTTGGGAAGCAGAGTTGGATTTCTTCCATGCAACGCTTTCAAAACATGCATCTACATCCCTTTTGCTCGTCCTCCCCTCCAGACACCTGTACACACACACGCACAAACAAACAAAGCAAGTGGGCTCATAACTTTCATATCCTGCCATGGCAAATGTTGTCTAGAAACGGTACAGTGAGTGTGGGCATATGGAACATCTCTGCAGGAGTCGCACAGTCTGCCTCTAGAACCATTAGTCCATCGCCCATCAGATTCCTTAGCTTTGTGCAAAAAAACCCCTGCCAACAGTACTATAGATGACAAAACCACAAGCAGGGGCCTTGAAGAACACTTTGCGGACATTCCGTTGCATGCCAGCAGGTGGCGCTCTTGCTTTGTCAACCCGACTGCAGCCCATTTACAAATTATAGAATTGCTCCCCTGAGTGGACTCCATAAATGGCAAGAGCAGGGCTATTTTTGGGCAGGAACGCATAGGAACGGAGTTCCGGCTGGCTCCTGAGTTGGACACGCCCAGCAGGAACTCGTTAGCATAATAGGCCACACCCAAGAGCAGAAACTCATTAGGATTGGCTACATTAGGGGTGTGTGGCCTAACATGCAAAGAAGTTCCTGCTACAAAAAAAGCTCTGGGTTTTGACAACAAAGAAGGTAAACGGAATAAGAAGCAAAAGGTGGGTGTGGCTGGATTGACCACACTTCTGGTAACATGGGGGTGCGGCCTAATATGCTCATTAGCTGTGCTGTCAGGGATGTGGCCTAATATGCTAATGAGTTTCTGCTCTTGGGTGTGGCCAATCTTGTTTGTTTGCTCACTGGGATGTCACATTCCTTCTCAAAGGGATAGGAGCGTTTCTTTCCCATATCAAATCCTAATCCCAATATTTGCTTTCCAAATGAAAACTTTTGTGGACCTTTGCAGGCCTTTGCAAGTGATTGCTGCGCTACGTTTCACCGTTCCAGTGCTAGTTATTTGCTGCACCTGGTTGCTGCACCCGGTTCTCAACTACTACTTTAAAGGAGAACTTCTTTATTCAGTAATGTCATAAATAATGCCATAAAGAAATAAAATAAAATTGTCATCCAGAGATTCTGTTGTTATAGTGTTGAGAATCATGAATAATCCAGCTACAGTTGCAAGCAGCAAGCTTTAGAAGCTCCCAGACGCCGACATTAGCTTCTCACTTGTTAGTTAAACAATGTAGATAAGGAAGTAAACTTATCTGTACTTGGAAAACAGCCCAGACTTCTTTTGCAGTTCAGCTGACTCAATTCTAATACTTTAGCAGACCTTGAGAGAAAGTTCCTCCTGAAACCCAAAGGAAAGGTTGTGTTCTCTCCTCGGCAGGCAGGACCCGTCCTTGGGTGTGGCCTATTATGTTAATGAGTTCCTGCTGGGCTTTTTCTACAAAAAGAGCCCTGGCAAGAGCAAGGAGGGGACCTAAGTCTGGAGTATGA